AGTTTCTTCTCATAAGGACACCACTCATGTTGAATAACAGCCCATCTAAATGCTTCATTTTACCTTATCTAACCTTTTTTTTTTTTTTTGGTACTGGGGATCGAACTCAGGTCCTTGTGCTTGCACAGCAGGTGGCGAAACCACTGAGCTAAAATCTCCAAATACAGTTGCATTCTCTACCACAGATTAAGATGTCAATCCATGCACTTTGGGCAAAAAAATTCAGCTCATAAACTGTCTAATGTGAAAAACCCATGTTACTCAACATTAAATCTTGAAAACATCAACTCAGGTGTCAAGCCTGAAAGAGCCTCCTGATTTTGTAGATCAGGAGGTGCCGCACAGAAAAAATAAGTTGCCTAAAATCGTAAGGTAAATCAGGGCTGGGACTAGAGCCCAGGTCTCCTGGCTCCTTGGTTACTTGTCTTTGGGTAAGAATTCATTACCTAAAATCCAGTGAGGCGGTGCTCTCCTAATTTTAATGCCCCAATCTGTTTTCTATAACAGGATCACGTAATATAAAAAAGTCAGACTGACACAGCTCAGGAGGTGTTTGAAGGTTACATTAGGTAAAGCAATGGTCTTTTCTATGCTCTGCCCTATTGGATCCCAGCTTGGAATCCTGATGTACCCCTTCCTTAGGGTCCACTTAGTGTGTGACTTAGAGAAGAGGTGTCTACTTTCCTGAAGGGGGTCAGCAGGGAGAGAGGGGATCCCTGGTTGTACCAATGAGAATCGAAACCTGTAATCCCAGCACTCAGGAGGCTGAGGCAGGAAGATCACCATCAGTTCAAGGCTGCCCAGCTGGCTAGATTGGGAGGACTGATACCTCCTAAGGCCAGGGGATCTGAGGTCTGGATGTTAACTGTCTTCTTACCTTTTAAATGTCTTGAAATCCTGTAATTATAATTCATCTCAATGATAGCAGATACAGTGATTTAAAACATCAGTAAGGTGGATCAGCTCCCTGTTACCTATGACCTGTCTTTTATTTTGCTCTTTGATTTATGTGTATGTTGGTGTTAGGGTTTGGGTCTAGATAACCCCAGAGCCTCATGCAGTCAAGATTATTTTTAAATTCTCTTCTAGTTTACTATTCTGTGGTTCTATGGGAAGATACAGTCTTGTCTGTGTGTGTGTGTGTGTGTGTGTGTGTGTTTTGTACCAGGGATGGAACTCGGGTAAGATACAGTAGTACTTTTGTTGGAAATTCAACATAGTAACATCATACAAAAAGAGGATTAGGAGAAACAAAAATTTGTCCTGGAGTAGATTGGAGGCCACCGCTTAGGACCTTTCTTGTACTGCTACTTCGAACCACAGTCAGCTAGCATCTACATAGAGTTTAAAATTTGTAGCCCAAAGTTGCAAACTCCACTGTCTCTAGTCATGGAAGCATGGGAAATGGTGGGGTGAAATCCGAGGACAGTGGGATGGAAGTCTGAAGCCAGGAGCCATAGTCCTGAGAAGAGCACCTGTTTTCTCCTTAAACACCTGCAAATTAAGTATTAATAAGCCATTTTAGTGGCCAAAACAGACAAATATGTAGCCAAATTCATTGGAAACTCTATCCCCAATGTTGGGAGATGAGGCCCTAACGGGAGATGTTCAGGTCAGGAGGGATTTGCCATCAGGCATGGCTGAAAGTCCTTAGAGAACAGCACTGGGAAGTGGATTCCTTTCTCTCCATCTCTGCCTCTCTTGCCTGTCTCCCTTCCACCATGTGGGCCAGTGTTCCTCGCCTCTGGAGGACACAGCAGGAAGGTCCTCACCAAACACCAGCACCTTGATCTTGGGCTTCCCAGACTCCAGAACTGTCAGAGTAAATTTATCTTTATAAATTACCCACTCTCATGGATTTGGTTATAGATTTTCAAAATGGACCAAGGCATACACCTATGTTAAAGTCCCTATTGAATGATTAAGCATTATTAAATTGTGAACACAGCATAGTGCTATCCAACAGCTCCAGAGGGCATTTAAATGACCTAGTAGCTACGTTTTTAGAAGTAAAATCAATATATCCAAAAATATTTATATAAATATAAAAATCACTGTGCTAATTTATATTATGTTATATTAGTTATTTCAAATGTGGTGAATATTTGATCCTTATAATACATCTTAGCTTGGACAGCCACATTCCAAGTGCTCGAAAGCCACATGTGGCCAGTGGCCACCATATGGGACAGTGCAGTTCTAGTTCCTTGTTCCACTCTTGCTCACAACCAACCCGGGAGAGGGAAAGTCTCCAGAGACTTGTCTCTTTCAAGCCTCCTATTACTGGTTAATTAAACCTCTAAGCAACAGCCAAGTCACTTGCAACTGCGGAAGATAATTTAAGAAATCTGTCTCAAAGCCAAGAACACAGCTCCCCACATACAAGAAGGGGAGACAAGTCCTTTGGGCTAGATCCCTTGAAGGAGAAAAAAGACTGCACTGAATCAAGTGCCCTAGTGTGGGAGAGGAGGTAAGTCATTGCCACAGGGATGGAGGAAGCAGAGGAAAGAAGCGAGTCCCATTAGGGTCACGGTTGCCCTCCAGAGCTGCTGTGAAGTAGGATCAACAATGCTTTTCTCAGGCTTCACAGGCTGTCCATCAGGCAGCTCCTGTATCATTCTCCCTTTACAGACTAGGAAACCAAGGCAGAGGGATCATAAACTTGTCTGAGGTCATTTAGTAGTCAGCAGAGCTAGTGCTTAACAATCAAGTCCGTTTGAGGGTTAGCACCTGATGCATACCCATTGGGATGCATTAGGACATTCTTACAACATCTCCGAATACCTCAGAGTGTGCATGGACTTTTGCACGAATGTGCATGAATGTGTGTTGTTTACATGTACTGTATTATTATCTGCAGGACTGAATGGTCCATTTTTAGGCAGACTTGAAGATCTAAAACAATATCACTGCTTCCCAATAAAGTTTCTTAATTGTTTATCAATCTTTCTCTTTGCTATGCCTTTTCACCCACCCGCTATTTCTGGCGGACTCCTAGGAAAGAAACAGTAGGATACTAAGGGAACTGGGAGACTCAGCAAAAAAGTAGGGGGTGAATGCCAGGAATCAGCAGGGCTGGCTATCCACATGGGAGTTGGGGTGTCTGTGGCATCTGATTTGGGGTAAGAGAGGAGGGAAATGTCAAAAAATTTTGTCTGTCTCAAAATATCCTACCAACCTTAGTCTTGACTATTGACTTATTCCCATTGGGTAATTCATTTGACCAGAGGGAAGGCATTTTCTCCAGCAGACCCTGTTAACAGGAGCAGGGTTCAATCGGAGGGCAAGAGTAGCAGCTAAGCCTGCAATCTCTGCTACCATACTGGCCGTGTTGACATGCTGGCCTGCTACTTTCCAGCTGTGGCATGTTGCACAGTCATGCTGAAATTTCTCTGCTTTAGACTCTTCATCTTAAAACTGGATGTAAAGATAATTTAACAGATAGGATTTTCAGGAGGATCAAAAACAACAAGGAACATAAAGTGCCTGGAGGGTCAGCACTCACTAGTTCAGTGCAATGCAGAGTCTGAAGGCCTAGTTCAGCAGCCAGGACCTCACTTTAGAATCACTGGGAAAGTTTGTTAAAATACAAGGGTCCAAGTCTTGTGCTCCATGGGAAACCCTGGGGGACAAAACAGACTTATTTTCCCAAGAGGAGGAGGGGTTACAAACAAGTCCCAATTGTCACCCTCCTCGGCTGGCACTGTGTACCAGAATATTAAGTCCTTACCCATTTCGTGTCAAAAGTACTAAAAGGTCAAGAGATGCAGTGGGAAAGGCATGGGCTCTGGAGTCAGACAGGTGTGTGTGGACACTCTGGCCCCATCACTTGCTGGCTATATGACCATGACGCGGGCACGTCCTCTCTCGGAGCCTCAGTTTCCCCATCTGTGTAGTAGAGATCATTATGGCTTTCTTTGAGCTTGGGATGAGGATTAATTACGGCCCAGCAGTGCCTACAGTCAGCCAGTGTGGTCAAGATGGAACATTCCCTCCGTTCAATGCCAACCCTGAGATGGCGGGAAATAGAGTTCCTGGGAGAGTCCCTGGCTGGGGAGGAGCTGGCCAGACAGCTGGCAGTGGGTGGAACTGAATTTCCGCAGAAAGAACAGCTGCAGGTCATTGGTGGGCAGATCACTGGGGATTGCAGCTGACTCAGACGTCAACAGAGGAGAAGCCAGGTGACAGTAGGCAAGGGTCCATTGGCTTCTTTACTGAAAAACAAGCGCCTGTTCTTTTCAGGTAGCTAGGAGCCACCATATTAGCCTAAGGGGTATTCCCACCCTGTCAGAGGGACAAAGACAGGGCATCCAAAAACCTGACCCCTTTTGAAGAGGGAGGTAGGATTCCTAGAGCCATTACATGAGTAACACATGCAAATCAAGAGGAACAGCACCTGGCCTACTGGGAAGCCATGGTAGTGGTGGCCACAGTGTTCCCTCCCACCCCGCCAGGGGAAGAGTCTTCAACATCGCCCTTCCTGATTTGCAGTCTTGTCATGGAATGATCTATTCTCAGCCTTAAATCCATAGATTCGCACACAGTATGATGCAAACCCAAAACTCACCACCACCCCAGGTCTCATCTACAGAGACAACGGACACAGGGATTCTCCCCAACCTATTTCTCACATTCCACCCAACAGAAGCTCCTGTCTGTCTGGGTGAGGAGGAAGCCCTCCAAGGGAACAGCTCCCCCACTGCACTTAGTGTCCCCTCTCTCAGGATGCAGCCAGGTATTATCAAGATCTTCCTAGCCCAACACATTCTAGTGGAATATTCGGAAAGGGAGCAGAGCAAGAGGCTTAGAAGACAAACTTCATTTTCTTCACAGTTGTCTCTACATTATGTCACAGTTTCTCCTGTTTTTGAGTTCTCATCTGCATTTGGCCTGTGTTCTGGACATTGCTGCTTCAATTCCCTGTTTCCGGGAGCACCCACCCATACCCCTCTCAGGTGTGCTAGAAGGTAGTTCCTCACCTGTCTTATTGCTCTTTACAGCCCTGCTCTTAGCATGGTACCATGACCAAGATGCTCCTCAATCGTGACTGGTGACAGTGTGGAGTGGCACGTTATAGCCCTGGCACTGAGACGTCTTGCAGATGAAGGCCAGCTCTGTGACAGGTCTCTGAAAGCTGACTCTGTCCGTCTCCAGCCTGGCAAATGAGAGGTGATGGGAGGCGAAGAATCAACAACTTCCAAGTTCCTCCCTCAGGCCAGGAAAACACCTGGGCCTTGGAACCTGAACCTAAATTCAAGGGATGAACCTTCCACTTACCGAGGGCACCAACCCTGGGCCATTGACTTGAGCTCCCTGGAACTCCACTTGTTTGTTTCCTGGAAAACATAATAAGATTGTGACAATTAAAGAAATAAAGTTTATGAAAACATTCTTTAAAGAACTGCAAGTGTACGAATAACAGCTATTATTTTTCATAAAGTGGTTTCCAGGTGGGTTCCAGTTGTTGCATTTTAAACGCATAAAGCACTGACTGTGTGCTGGTGGTCTCAAGAAGTACATACCAGAGGGCCGGGGATTTAGCTCAGTGGTTTTGCCGCCTGCTACGCAAGCGCAAGGACCCTAGAGTTTGATCCCTGGTACCAAAAACAAAAAAGAAGAACATACCAGAGATGTGAAGAGTGTCCTTGAGGCAGCACAAAGGAGGGAACCTTTCACAGGCAGCCCAGGGTGTTCTGAGTGCTTTTCTTTTGCAAATGCAGCCCATAGCTGTTCTTTAGAGTTTGAATCTGTAACATGTGGAAGTCTTCCCTTTGGGTGGCAGAACACCAATGGCTTCCTTCTTTGGGCTCCCTCACTCATACCCCATGGTGCTGGCCACCAGCTCTAGTAATCTTGAGAAATAATCAAGTATAATTTCTGTTGGAGCTGCACAAGGATCATAAAGACTGGGATCTTAAATAGCAGTGTTCATTCTAATAGCAGGTGACATATGAGGAAAAAATAACAGTGTTAGCTAAAACTTGCCCTTGTCAATAGGCTGGGTATTATTTCCTAGGGATTTACATGCATTACTCATTTAATCTTTCTAAGAAGACTTCTAGGTAGTTTGTATCATTCTTGTTTTTACAGAAGCTGACACTGAAGCACAGAAATTATGTTACTTGCCCCTGGCCACTCCTATTTGAGGAGTGGAGCGAGGACTTGAACCCAGGCGGTCTGGCACCAAAGGAAACTGGCCATGCTGCCAACCCCAAGGGCAGTGCCTCAGATGCCCACGGAGTCTACCCGGGAGGAGGGGGCACATGCTCTAAATGACAAAGCGAGTGAGCTCTGAGTGGCCTTTCATTGGTCACTGCCTCTTCCTCAGTGTGGCCTCCAGAGATAGGAGATTCTTAGGGGTTACTTAAAACTTAAGAGGAAGAAAGCTTTTCACAATTCAGTCTTTCATTGTACTTCTTGTTAAAGGACAGCCTTAAAAAACAGTAAGATCATGATTGCCTACAGATATAAAATGAGCATGTGCTAAGTAAGAATTTTTATTAGTGAGATATCTAGGCCTATGTTGTTAGAAGAAAAACTTTAGGCAAATTACATTAAACAGAGGCTGAGGAAAGAACAATGAATCTGGCAGGCCTCAGAAGTACACAGTTCAAAGAACTTGCCTGCAGCATGATCAGGCAACATTTGTGGTCAGAAGTGGGAAGTGAGGTTCACAGGCAGCATATAGCTTAGTGGAGAGCACATGCTTAGCATGCCCAAAGCCCTGGGTTCAATAAGAAGAGTTCAAAATAATAATAATAATAAGCTATACTCCTAAATTAGACTTTTAGTTATTTTGCATACTGAAATGGAGTTCATCTTTATATAAGGACTCAAGTACGGAAGCAGACTTAGGCCAAACTTAGTTTAATTTAACAATGTTGTAGCTGTTTCAAAGGAATCCAAAGGACAGACATATTTACAGATCAAAAATATTGAAATTAATGCAAAACTGGTTTTTCTAGGGTGGGGAAAGAATGTATGGATGGAACTCATTTGCATCTTTATAGACAAGAATTATTTTGCATTGCTATCTGTGCTCTACTCTTCACAGTGTGGAAAAATAGATCAAAGGCAATGAAAGTCTAGAATCAGATAATCCTAATGGGTGTGCTCCATAGTCTTTCATTGGAGAAATCCAATAATTTTTTTCAGCTTGTTTAAAATTTCTTTACAGTGCCAGGGATTTAGCTCAGCGGCACCACATCTGCCTTGCAAGCACAAGGTCCTGAGTTTGATCCCCAGTACCCAAAAAAAATTTATTTACATTCTGCACTGCTAGCATCTTTACATGTAAGAATACAAGCGCAACACTTCCTTTATTTTTTTCATCTTTTTCTTACTCCTATGACCATTTTTTCCTCATTTCACTGACACTAAATGTGTTTAATTTGTATTCTGGTTGGATCAGCTATCCAATAACAGCTGCAATATTTGTAATCCAATGCTTCTGTTTGTTGTATCTTTTGACTCTCACTCATGATGCTTTGTTTCCCTACAAATTTTGTAATTTATTTTTTAAAAAGCTGGAGTATATGTTGTGAAGACCATGTAGAACTCCCAAGTTGACATCAAGATTATTTTAAGCTGAAGAAATGTAAGATCCACAGATCCAAGAAACAATCTTTTTTTTCAGTATTGGGACTTGAACCCAGGGTCTTCACACTGACTTCATCCCCCAGCCCTTTTTGATGTTTTACTTTGAGGCAGGACCTTGGTAAAGTCTCTAAATTGCTCAGCCTGTAATTGAACTTGCCATCTTCCTGTCTCAGCCTGCCAGAGTGCTGGAATTACAGGTGTACACTACCACACCCAACTGAAACAAGCTTTCTTATAATGTTCTTTGTCCTACTAAATGCAATAACATCTGGGAAATATGCCTGTTATAAATTCTTCTTCAAGGCATATCTCCTTCCAGAAGGGAGAATCAACCCTGCCCTAAGTCATTTCTCCAGGAAAGTTTTACAGTCCTGAAGGGAATGTGAAAGTTATCAGTATCAAAATGGAGTCACTAATGTCAAACCCTAACAAATGGAGCCAGAAACTTAGCACAGTGGTGTACACCTATAATGTCAGCTACTCAGTGGGCTGAGGCAGAGGATCTCATATTTGCCAATCGTCTTTCTTTTTTTTTTTTAATTTTATTTATTTATTTTTAAAATTGTCTTTCTTTTGAAACAGCTCACATGAACTTCTTTTTGTCTTTAAAAGCTTGTCCTTTTCCCCACATCCTTGGATATGCCTATGACCCGCCATAGCACATATAACCCATTTGCAGTCCTCTACTATTCCCAGATCATCTCCTTGCTTTGATGATTAGTCTTTGTGGCTAATTTTAGGTCAACAAGACAGAAAGGCCATGTATAACTACGTAGATAAATGTTATCACAAACTTTCTTATCTCTTGTTTGTTCAGAAAGTTCTTTTGTCATTCCCTGTGGTGATTTGTTCTCTGTAAATGCATTTCTCCTCCTCCCTTTCACCTACTAAAATCCTATACAAGCCCCAGATGTAGCCACCCCTTTTGAGTAGCTCATCTCAGAGCCCTACCGTGTGTATATGTGCTGCAAGCATAAATATACTCTACTGTTTTCTGCTTTTAATCTGGCCTTGGCTGGCTTAAGTTGTAGGCCACAGCTACTGAATAAAAGAGTGTTAAAAGTTTTCCTCCCCTACAATATTTATTAGATCTTTTACAGCTGGAATATCTTGAGGCCTGGCAGAGGGTGGTGTGTGTTCATTCAAAGAGATTTACATTTGCCTTTTCTAGGTGCTCAGGATGATAAACAGAGTCTGCCAAAAAAATGTATACACACTGTAGGAAAAGAAGAACTTGCATAAATATTTTAATACTAAATTTATTGAGACATTACAAGATTAATACAAGTTACCTTTGGCCTCTACAGTTACAAGAGGTGCTCAAAGTGGTTGTCATTAGCTTCCAGACTTTTATTAGTACAGCGAACTGCTCCTTGGGTAACCTTGGTCATTGAGATTGCTGCACATACATATTCAATTTCTTCTTGAAGGGCCGGCAGTGTAGTGAGTTTTCTGTGATATACAATATCCCCTAGCATCCCCCATACAAGAATAGCACCATCTATTGAAAAAAGCATCATACTACTTTTCTTTTCTGAGGTGTGTATACATTTATTTTGGTGAACTCTATGTCCCAGGTCAATTTAAGTAAAAGTCTTGGCTTGAGATTTTTCAGAATTTTAAGTAGAATGAATTTGGACCCAAAACTGAGTGGGGGTTGGCTTACAGAGACATATCTCAGGGAGACTTTTTATTTTCTCTCTTAAACTGAGAACCATGACGCAATTCCTTTGTATGTCCCTTGTGGGATCCCCACACCCACTGCCTTTCAGCCTTTAGGAGTCCCAACTCTAGGCTGAGGTCTCAGGTTTTATCCATCAGATTCACTGGGCCCTGCACTCAGGGATAGATTTCCCTGAGGATTCTGCTGTCTTTAGTATTCATTCTCTTAATTTGTATTATTGCTTAAAATTTTTTTTTTGCTTTTTAGTGTGCATGCATGCATGTGTGCATGTGTGTGTGTGTGTGTGTGTGTGTGTGTGTAAGTGTATATGAGAACCCACCTCTTCAGACCAGGCCCACCTCCCAACAGCACACTCAGCCACAGGTCAATTCGCTGATGAGTACAGCACCCCCATGACCAACTCCCCTCCACAAGACTGGCCTCTGAGTGCATGGGTGTTTGGGGGAACATTTCAGATCTAAATCACAACATCCTACCCATAGACCCCCAACACCTTATGTATGTCTCCTTTTGAAAAATGCATTTAGTCCATCTCTAAAAATTTCCAAAGTTTTAACAATTTCAGCATTGCTGAAAAGTGCAAGTCCAAAGTTTCCTCTGAGACTCAAGGCAAACTCTTAGCTGTGAGTTCCTGTAAAAATCAAAGGAAAGTTAAGCACTGCTGATATACAATGTCACAGGATAAACATTCACATTCCAAAAGAGAGGAGTAGTTAGTAGAAAGAAATTGGACCAAAGCAAGACTGAAACCCCACAAGGTAAAAATTAAAAGCCATAGCTCCATGTCCAGGACTCTAGAAGGCTTGAGCTGCCTATGGCACCAATGGTTGTAGCCCTCGTGGGCTCTCTCTTGGGTTGGCTCTGCTCACTGCCTACAGCTATCTTCAGATGTTCCATCTTCTCAGCTTCTCCAACTTCTTATGGTGCCCACTGCACTTTTAGCTTCTCTGTCACAGCTTCACACACTGACCTCTCAGGGGCTCATTGTCTGGCTTCCTAGCCCTTTTTCTGAAATCTGGACAGAAGCTTCC